TGCTTGGCCTGCTGTGTTCATCCAGCCCTGCACCTTGTTGTCTCGGATTCTCCAGCATCTGCAGTTCCTACTATCTCATGTTAAACTCCCTTGCTTTATCTCAATCTTACCTTGGATTCTTTATCACTTTCACTCACACTTACTTTAATGCAGGTTTTGTGCAAAATTAGAAAACCAAATGGTCTGTAGTCTTGAAGTATATATGCCCATCGATGCATTTCATTGCAAAAATCTTCAAATCCAGTATTATTGCAAAGTTCTAAGGAAGGGTCACCAGACCCAAAATATTAACTCTGATTTTTCTTCACAGATGCTGCCAGACCTGCTGAGCTATTCCAGCAACCTCTGTGTTTGTTCCTGATGTGGTGCTCAGTGATTTCCTAGATTCTTGATGTTTTTTGTGTGGGCTGTGGTGAGTTATTAACAGAGCTGCTCAATGCTTTATTCTTACACCAGTGCTTCAACTGTACTCCATTCAGGTGGAAAAAAATGTTCCCACTTACTTCTGTAACAATGCACAGCCAATTGTATTCTTCTTTAGTCTTCGAATACCACTCATTTCCAGAATTTGCACCATATTTATAAAAGCTCTTGGCACCTGTTTTAATGAATATTTAAAGTCAGAAAAAAGCTCAGAGGGCAAATAACACATTTTAGAACCATAATACACATCTTCTTCCAGACACTTGCCTTATACCCTGATTGTCACAGAACCTAAGGTTATGACCATCATCATCACTTGTATTTCAGAACTGTAAACCCTAATTATTGCATTCGTACTGACTTCCACCATTGGAGGAGCAATCTGCCCACAGCCCCGAAGATTATAGCAATGCAAGTGGATATCTAAACACTGCTTAAATATTAAAAGAGTTTCTGACTCCACTATCCTTTCAGGCAGTGAGTTCTAGACACCCACCACCCTCTGGTTTCTACTCAACAACACCCCTCATAGCCTACTACCTGTCCCTTTAAATCTGTGCCCACCATTGAGTGACCATTCACTAATAAAAAAAGTGCCTTCCTATCTACCCTTCATAATTTAGACACTTCCATCATGTCCCCTCACGGCCTTCGCTGCTTCAAAGAAAATAGCCCCAATTTTTCCTCATAGCTCCAACCCTCCAGCCCAGGCAGCAACTTGGTAAATCTCCTCTAAACACTCTCCAGCAATCACATCCTTCCTATAATGTGGTGACCAGAACTGCACACAGTACTTGACACAGCATAATTGTGGCCTAAGCAGCATTTTATACAGTTTTATACAGTTCCAGCATAATCTCCCTGCTATTGTATTCAATGCCTTGGCTAATATAGGCAGGTATCCCATAACCATCTTATCTTAGCCACCTTATCTACCTAGCCTGTTAACTTCAGGGATCTGTAGAAATGTACACTAATGCTCCTAAGATATTCAGTACTTCCCAGGGTCCTAACATTCATAGTGTAATCCTTTGCCTTGATAGCTCTCCCCAAGTGCATTACCTCACACTTTTCTGGGTTAAATTCCATTTGCCACAGCTCTGCCCAGCTGACCAGTCTGTTGATGTTCTCCTACAGTTTACTCCTCACTATTTACCAGCCCACTAATTTTCATGTTGGAGGCACATTTCTCTATCATAGCTCCCCACATTTAAGTCTGAATCATTAACGTCAACCACAAACAGCAAAGGCCCCAATACTGAGTCTTGCAGAACCCCACTGGAAAGACACTTCCAGTCACAGAAACATCCCTCTATCATTACCCACTCAGAATATTAGGAACTGCTGATGCTGGAGTCTGAGATAACAAGGTGTGGAGCTGCAGGAACACAGCAGGCCAGGCAGCATCAGAGGAGCAGGAAAGCTGATGTTTCGTTTCGGGACCCTTTTTCAGAAATGGGGAAGGGGAAGGGGGCTCTGAATTAAATAGAGAGAGGGGGGGACGGTGATAGCTGGTGGATAGTGGAGCGGATAGGTGGGAGAGAAGAAAGACAGGTCAAGGATGTGGGGATGAGGGGGTGGGGGGTTGCTCGTCTTGGGATGAGGTCGGGGGTTGGGAGATTTTGAAGCTAGTGAAGTCCACATTGGGACCATTGGGTTGTGGGCTCCCAAGGCGGAATATGAGGTGCTGTTCCTCCAGTTTCCGGGTGGCATCGTTGTGACACTGGAGAAGGCCCAGGATGGACACGTTGTCCAGGGAGTGGGAGGGGAAGTTGAAGTGATAAGTGACTGGGAGGTGTTGTCATTTGTCATGATCCGTCTTCTCTCCCACCTATTCGCTCCTCCCACCTCACTGACCAATCCCCACCCCCACTTCCTACCTACACTCACCTTTATCAGCTTCATCCCTGCCTCCTTGACCTGTCTGTCTTCCCTCCCACCTATCCACTCCACTATCCACCTGCTTTCACCGCGCCCCCCCCATTTATTTCAGAATCCCCTTCCCCTCCCCCATTTCCGAAGAAGGGTCCCGACCCGAAACGTCAGCTTTCCTGCTCCTCTGATGCTGCCTGGCACGCTGTGTTCATCTAGCTCTACACCTTGTCACCTCTATCATTACCCGCTTTTTGCCAATCTGCCAGTTTTGGATCCATTGTGCCAATTTGCCTTGGATCGCATGGGCTTTTACTTTCTCGACCAGTCTGCCTTGAGGGATATTATCGAAAGTCTTGCTCAAGTCCACATCAAATGCATTGCCCTGATCAACACTCCTGGTTACCTCCCAAAGAACATTCGATCAAATTTGTGAAACACAATCTTCCCGCAACAAATCCGTGATTACTATCCTGTTGAATCAGTGTCTCTTCAAGTGCAGATATATACTGTCCCTGAAAATTCTTTCTAACAACATCCCCACCACCGCAGTTAGGCTAACTGGCCTGTTATTTCTTGGTCTATTTCTTCCTCCTTTATGTAATAATGGGTCAATGTTAGCAGTCATCCTGTCTTGTGGCTAGACAGGATTTGAAAATTATCACCAGGGTCCTTGAAATCTCCTCCCTTGCCTCCCTCAACAGCCTGGGATATATCTCATCTGGGCTGACAGATTATCCCCTCTTAAGACTCCTAAACTCACCAGTATCTCCTCTCTCTCCTTGTGTTATTTTCTCATAATATTTCACAGTTCTCCATCCTGCTTTCTATACCTGCATCAGCCTTTTCCAATGTTGGAGACTGACACAAAATATTCATCGAGGACTACATTCATGTCTGAAGTTGTAGACTTGCTTGCAGACGTTTTTGGTGTTTGGTTGCAGACATTTCATTGCCCTGCTAAGTAACATCGTCCACGTGTCTCCGGTGAAGGGTTGGTGTTGTGTCCTGCTTGTTATTTATATGCCTTGGTTTGCTCGGGCGGTTGGCATCATTTCCGGTTCTGATGAACGTAAAGAGTCCCATACCCACAACCAATAAAACTAACGTAATATACAAAATACCATGCAAGGACTGTGAGAAACATTACATAGGCCAAACTGGAAGAAAACTGACAATAAGGATACACAAACACCAACTAGCCACCAAGAGGCATGACCAATTCTCAGTTGTCTCACTACACACGGACAGAGAAGGACACGAATTCGACTGGGACAACACATCCATAATAGCACAAGCCAAACAGAGACATGCCAGGGAGTTCCTACAGGCCTGACATTCCAACTGGAACTCCATAAACAAAGACATTGAACTGGACCCAGAATACAAACCACTGAAATTCAGAACCGGAAGTGATGCTGACCACCCAGCCAACTGAGGCATATAAATAACAAGCAGGGCAGAACACCAACGCTTCACCAGAGGCGCACTGACGATGTTACCTAGCGAGGTGACGAAATGTCTGCAATCAGACACACATGCTCGGCGAGCAAGTCTACAACCTCATCCACAACTCGATCTACAAATCTTCTCAAAAACTTTATGTTCATGTCTCTCAGGTCCACACAGATTAACTGTATGGCCTCTAATGAGCCCACAATATACTCTTGCTCTTTATATATTTTTTAAAACCCTTTGGGTTTTCCTTTATTCTACCTGCAATGCTTTCTTATGCACTTTCTTAGCTTTTCTAATTTCCTTTTCATACTCCTCTAGGGACTCTGACATATTAAGTCCTTGTTTTTTTGCCATAAGCTTCTATTTTTTTTAATCCTAATTTCTATGCCCCTTGACATCCAGGATTCTCCAGTCTAGGTCCTATCCTAACCTTTACAAGAACATATTAGCCCTGTACTCCTGCTCTTCCCTCTTTGACTGCCTCTTACTGCTCTGACACAGGTTTATCGCAAGTAGCTGCTCCCAGTCCACTGGGTCAACTCATATTTAAGTAAAATTGGGCTTCCCCTAGTTTAGAACTTTTATTGCTGACCCAACTGTAACTTTTTCTGTAACTATTCTAAATCTAAGTTATGGTCACAATATATAAATATGGTCACAGATATGTTATCATGTTAAAGGTGCTATACAAAAGGTTGTTGTTTTCATTGTTGTTGTGAATGCTGTGCACTATTTGTAACCCAATTGATTTGTATGGCACTATGCGTACTAACTTGTTGCAGTGTGATGTACTTTAACAAACTTTGTAAATTAGAACATATTTTTGGGGGAAAAAAACATGCGGTGCAAGAAGAAATTGTACGACAAAAATGTATTCACAGGGAGTAAACAGTAGCCCAAGCCCTCCAGGAGCAGAATTAAAGAAGATTTAATTGGCAAGAAAAAACAAGGTCAAATGGAATTTAGTGACAAAGTAAAGCTGTGTCTGCTTTTGTTCAAGGAGATCTGACGTCAAGTGTACTAGGAATGTAATGTCTCATGTATGTTAATAGTGACTGAAAAAAAATGTGCCTTTAGACTGGTTTTGCTACATTTTACTTTAGGTAGTCTGTAACCAGTAATATTAAGAGATGTTATCAGAAGTGTTTTACCCTGCCATTTGTAATGACTGTTGGTGCCTGTACAGAAAATTTGCAGAGACAGCTTCAGTCAGCATTATCTCTGTACAGTCAGCAATATGTCTGGATAGTTGTATCTGCTGAGAATCAGGCAAAGACAGTCCATTAAACCTATTGGACACTAACATGGATTGAGAGTTGCATGCAATAGCCAGACCACCTGCTCAGCCCCTTCTTGTCATATGGACTGATGTCTGAAGCAGCCTGGTTAAAAACATCTCACATTCTTTAGATAGTATGAGTAGAAACAGTCAGCGGGTTGGGAGGGCTGGTGGTGGGATTGGGAGTAGACACTTCACAACACAAGAATGGAGTTCAACAGATCACATAAGGAGCCACACAATCACTTGAACAAGATTGTCAAACAGTATTAGGTACTTGAATCATACATTGTAAACAACATTGTGTTTGCGCTTCGAGTAAAGGGTACCAGCAGCACAGTGCACTGGCATATCGGCATGTTCTTATCGTTGTGATTTGCCTTCTGCCTGTAGGTACTTCAGAGGGTGAAATGTCAGAGACTGGCTCATTCTCTCGCCTCTGTGACTCACTTCAGAGAGAAGCAAAGACCTTGGATCAGATTTCATTTCACCTTTACCTGTTGGTGCAGTATATCCAGTGCCTCCTCAATATGTTTCACATAATTATCTGCAGAATACGCTTCCTGCAAAAAGATAAATCAAAAGAATTACTATATTTCTGTTACAGGGATAAGAATGAATCTGGACCTGGAAATCAAGGTGTTATGGAAATATGTGCCCCCTGTTGCATTTTATTCTTCAGAAGTTCAATAGTTGTGCCTTGATCAAGTTTGTTTAAATTGTTTTCTTTCAAGGAGTTGTCACACTAAATCCTTTATGTGCAATATCGGTGTGTGAAGCTCCACACTGAAAGTTACTGATAATGAAAATTTCCCTTTCTGTCTTCAAAGAGAAATATTTCAAATAAAATCCAGCCACTCCCAGTCCTGGCCTGAAGTCTTATACATGGTTAGCAGACAGCTCTAGGCAGAGAACTGCATAGATACAAATTTCTGGCACATATCACGTTTCCACTTGCATTTAAAAAATGCTGCTCACATTCTTCGAACATGCCAAGGTATTTCACAGCCATTTAATTATTGTTGAAGTGTGGCCTCTATTGTTCTGTAGACAACTGTGGCAGCTAATTTGTATCCATTATGAACCCATAGACAAAACTGTGATATGTGGTCAGTTAATTTATTTTTAATGGTGTTGGTTGAAATGATTTCAATCTATTTTACTCATATTTAAATCAATCCTATATATGGTTTCTTGATATGACTTTATCTAGACCATAAGGCATAGAAGTAGGCCATTCAGCCCGTTAAGGCTGAGCCACCATTCATTGGCTGATCTGATAATCCTCAATTTCATTTTCCTGCTTTCTCCTCAAAACCCTCAATTCCCTTAGTGATTAAAAATCTGTCTACCTCAGCCATGAATTTAATTGACGACCCAGCCTTGACAGCCCTCTGTGGTAAAGAATTCCACAGATTCACTACTCTCTGAAACATTATAGGAAGCTTCTTTACTTCAATGCTGCACCTTGGTGTGCATGAATCATTGTCATTGTAATACTGCAGTAAGGAGACTGTGTACTCAGGGACACACATGTAGCTCATGCTTTCATGCTTTCATGCTGTCGCTCTTATCTTCCCTGAATGCTCACAGCATCTCTGCCTTGCCTTGCATTTTTGGACTTTGTCCCTCAGCCAGAGATACCAGGCTCATATTACTGCTGACTTGCCTTGCCATTTAGCACAGTCAGAAAGTTAGGAAACTTGTTGTGTTTATCAGCAAGTGTCCATCAAGTCAGCGGGATCTCAGTACAGTAAGTCAAGGACAGTCTCTAATACCAGTCCAGGGACTTTTTCACAGTTAGTCAGCTACTCAGTGTGGTCAGAATCAGAATGCTCTCCACATAAAGGTGAGGGAACCAAATGTTGTGCAGCTCACCACCTGTCTTTTATTCACAAGGGATCTTAGAGGCTGGTACATGCCAGATACCAATGTCCGTGGGTGTGAGTGTATGTGACTAGTGCCCCAAGATCGCAGGTGCCTGGTATCTAATGTGGAGGTCCTTTGGAACAAGAGTGGGCTGAAGTCACCAAGTACCTGCTCTGATTTCCATGTTGGGAATTCTTAAATGTGTAGTTAGTTCAACACGTTTGGTAAGATCGGATACTGAATAATAATGAGGTCAGTTTTCGCTGGGGTAATAAGGTGATTAACCAGTATTAATACCATCAATTGGCAACTTGCTGCTATGTGGTGAGAAACTTGCCTTGCTGTTGGGCAAAAACATAAAAGATGTGGCAAGATGCTCTCAACATTGAAATGGGACTTGCCGGATTTCTCTTTTGATTCTGCTACAAATTAGAAGTGTTTCTCATAGCCCTACAAGATATCACCCTCGCTATGGTCTGACTAGTGCCTTGCATAACTTTGTCAAGACTCCCCTACTTTTATACTCCACACCCTTTGAAATAAAGCTCAATATTCCTTACAGTATGGAGCTGGAGGATTACAGCAGGTCAGACAGCTTCGGAGGAGCAGGAAAGCCTTCATCAGAACTTCCCGACCCAAAATGTCGACTTTCCTGCTCCTCTGATGCTGCCTGACCTGCTGTGATCCTCCAGCTCCACACTGTACTGACTCTGACTCCAGCATCTGCGGTTCTCGCTATCTTTAAGGTTAATATTCCATTTGCCTTCCCCACTGCCCTCTGAGCATGTATGTCAATTTTTGTAATTTATGCACAAAGACACTCACGTTTCTACAACCTTTCTTCATTTTAATAATGTTCAGCTCTTCCATTCCTCTTGGCAAAGTGCAAAACCTCACATTTTTCCACATTATATTCAATCTAACAAGTTTTGCTCACTTTCTCAACTAGTCCATATTACACTGTAGAGACTTTCTGTCATTCTCACCACTTTACTTTTCCAAATATTTTTGTGTCATCCACAAACTTGGCTAAAGTACATTCACTTTTCTCATCCAAATCATTAACAGATATTGTGAATAATTGTGGCCCTAACCCTGATCCTTTTGGCATATCACTAGTTACAGGTTGTTTATTCATTTGTGGGATATGCGTGTTGCTGGCTGGGCCTGTACTAATTGGTTCTCTCTAGTTGTCCTACAGAGGGTAGAGGTGAACTGTGTTGTCATAATCAGTATTACACCATCTCAAAAGGCAGGTGAAGGCTCAGGATGCTCACGTGGAGAGCTGGTGCAGACGCAATGGAGCAAATGGCATTTTTCTGCACCATAACACTTCTGTGATTTGATACGTCAAAGGATCATCTTCGCTTGAAAATGTTCCAGCTTGTAACGTGAAACAGGCCAACAGAAGATAATATTCCCGATTGGAAAGGAAAGAACATCAATGAGGTTGCAACTCTGGGACATCGCAAGGCCTTGTATCCTAGCCAATGATCTGGTCATTTTATCTCATTGCTGTCTGTCAGACTTTGATGATTGCAAATAGGTTGACCTGCATATCAGAACATGGGTCACTAGATGCACCTGAGAAGCCCAGGATGTCAGCAAAATTTGTTCGCTGTGTTTTGTCCTGGGGAGGTCTTCACTTGAGTTGCTCAGAAGCAATTCTCGAACCAGTTGACAGGGCACAGAAGCTGAGATGGTTTCTCCATGTCTCCCTCACGGTTTGGATCATTTGAGTTCCTTGTCCTAGTTCTTTACCAAGTGTAAGAGAGTACCACATATTCATCACAATGGGAGAGGAGAAGGAGGGAGGCTCCTACACCCTTCAGTCTCATGTATCACAACTGTGTATCCACCCAGTCTTCAGAACTGAGCCCCGGGGTCTGAATCCACTGGGAACACAAGCACTGTCAGAACATGAATATCTCACTACACAGCCCCAGTCCTTCTTGCAAGCCAAACTTCCATCCACTGAGTCTATCTATACTTTTCACTGCCAGGGGAAGGCATCCAACATAATCAAACAGCCCTCTCAACCAAGTTAATCTCTCTTCCAACCTCTTCAATTGGGCAGAAAGTACAAAAGCTTAACCACCATACCAACAGGTTCAAGAACAGCTTCTTCCCCTCTGTCATTAGTCTTCTGAGTGGACCTCTCAAATTTCAAACTTAATGTTGATCTTGGTCTTTGTGCACCTTCTCCACAGCCATAACATTGTATTCCTCGCTCTTGTTCTATTACCCTTATGCATTTTGTATGGTACGATCTGCCTGTACTGTACGCAAAATGAAAGCTTTCATTGTACCGAGGTACATGTGACAATAATAAACCAAATCAAATTTAAACAATGCTAAACCAGTCATCACAGTCTGTGTTCCAGGCTCCATTTGTCTGGCCCAGTGGCCTAGAGGAGAGCTCACTATGTGAAGCCAGATATATGACTGTCTCCATGAGGAGAATTCTACACCTTATTTAAAATATTAAAGAGAGCATGCCATTAAACTGGATATAAACATAAAGGGGAATGAAGAGCTCTACCTTATTCATACAGTACTCGCAGAGATCATTGGCTCCAATGAAAAGGGTGATTACTTTCCAGTCCTGCTTGAAATTGATTTTCTAAATGAAAAAAAGGAGAGTTTTATTGAAATTTTAACTTTTATTCTCAATGGTGTTCCAGGTCTCCACATTTTCACTCTTTCCACTTCATTAATTGTCTTCCCATTTCCCTTGAAAGTGGTGGCTCGTCGTAGGTGCCAATCCAGCCCACCTTCCAGTAACATGACACTTCAAACAGGGTATTCATGGAGGAAATAGTGAGGTCGAGGAGGGAAAATACCTCTCGATCCAGCAAACACCTCTTTTAAAAGAGCCCCTGCCCATCTCTCTGAGGAGTCAGAGGCAGAATAGAATCTGCCCAACTGCCTTCAGAGGTGCCCACTCAGGCAGGTGGGTGCCAAGGCATGCTGGACCTTCCTTAGATCTCTGAGGCCAGTTGTATTAAAGATTGTTGGGCCCCCTTGCTCTCACAAACCCATCCACATCACAAAGCTAAGATAACAAGGTGTAGAGCTGGATGAACACAGCAGGCCAAGCAGCATCAGAGGAGCAGGAAGGCTGACATTTCGGGCCTAGACCCTTCTTCAGAAATGGGGGAGGGGAAGGGGGTTCTGAAATAAATAGGGAGAGAGGGGGAGGCGGACAGAAGATGGATAGAGGAGAAGATAGGTGGAGAGGAGACAGACAGGTCAAAGAGGCGGGGATGGAGCCAATAAAGGTGAGTGTAGGTGGGGAGGTAGGGAGGAGATAGTTCAGTCCAGGGAGGACAGACAGGTCAAGGGGGCAGGATGAGGTTAGTAGGTAGGAGATGGGGGTGGGGCTTGAGGTGGGAGGAGGGGATAGGTGGGAGGAAGGACAGGTTAGGGAAGCGGGGACGAGCTGGGCTGGTTTTGGGATGCGGTAGGGGGAGGGGAGATTTTGAAGCTTGTGAATGCCCGCATGGGCCCAAGCTATGCCTGCCTCTTTGTAGGTTACATGGAACAATCCCGCTTCCATTCCTACACTGGCCCTAAACCCCACCTCTTCCTCCATTACATTGATGACTGTATCAGCACCACCTCGTGCTCCCACAAGGAGCTCGAACAGTTCATCCACTTCACTAACACCTTCCACCCCAACCTTAAGTTCACCTGGACCATCTCTAATACCTCTCTCTCCTTACTGGACCTCTCTGTCTCCATCTCTGACAACCACCGAGAAACCGATATCCATTTCAAGCCCACCGACTCCCACAGCTACCTAGAATACACCTCCTCCCACTCACCTTCCTGCAAAAATGCCATCCCCTATTCCCAATTCCTTCGCCTACGCCTCATCTGCTCCCAGGATGGGGCATTCCACCCCCGTACATCTCAGATGTCCTCGTTTTTCAAGGACCGCAACTTCCCCCCCTCAGTGGTCGAGAACGCCCTTGACCGTGTATCCCGCATTTCCCGCAACTCATCCCTCACACCCACTCCCCGCAATAACAACCAAAACAGAATCCCCCTCGTCCTTACGTACCACCCCATCAACCTCCGGATCCAACGCATCATCCTCCGACACTTCCACCATCTGCAATCCGACCCCACCACCAAAGACATTTTTCCCCCCCCACCCTTATCTGCTTTCAGGAGGGACCACTCTCTCCGTGACTCCCTTGTCCGCTCCACACTCCCCTCCAGCTCCACCACACCCGGCACTTTTCCCTGCAACCGCAGGAAGTGCTACACCTGCCCCTACACCTCCTCCCTCACCCCCATCCCAGGCCCCAAGAAGACTTTCCACATCAAGCAGATGTTCACGTGCACATCTGCTAATGTGGTATACTGCATCCGCTGTACCTGTTGTGGCCTCCTCTACATCAGCGAAACCAAGCGGAGGCTTGGGGACTGCTTTGCAGAACACCTATGCTCGGTTCGCACTAAACAACTGCACCCCCCAGTCGTGAACCATTTCAACTCCCCCTCCCATTCCTCAGACAACATGTCCATCCTGGGCCTCCTGCAGTGCCACAACGATGCCACCCGAAGGTTGCAGGAACAGCAACTCATATTCCGCTTGGGAACCCTGCAGCCCAATGGTATCAATGTGGACTTCACAAGCTTCAAAATCTCCCCTCCCACTACCGCATCCCAAAACCAGCCCAGCTCGCCCCGCTTCCCTAACCTGTCCTTCCTCCCACCTATCCCCTTCTCCCACCTCAAGCCCCACCCCCATCTCCTACCTACTAACCTCATCCCGCCCCTTGACCTGTCCGTCCTCCCTGGACTGACCTATCTCCTCCCTACCTCCCCACCTACACTCACCTTTATTGGCTCCATCCCCGCCTCTTTGACCTGTCTGTCTCCTCTCCACCTATCTTCTCCTCTATCCATCTTCTATCCGCCTCCCCCTCTCTCCCTATTTATTTCAGAACCCCCTTCCCCTCCCCCATTTCTGAAGAAAGGTCTAGGCCCGAAACGTCAGCCTTCCTGCTTCTCTGATGCTGCTTGGCCTGTTGTGTTCATCCAGCTCTACACCTTGTTATCTCAGATTCTCCAGCATCTGCTGTTCCTACTTTCTCACATCACAAAGCTCTTTCATTTCTCACCACATCCCTGATGGCCTCTCCTGATGACCCTGCCATAACTCCTCCATGCCTTCCCAATGTCCCCTCATATTTCTTATGACCTCATGATGCCCCATCGTACCCCCTCCATGAGGTTGTAATATTTTACTCTTTCTTTGTGAAGTGTTCCAATGCTTGCATATTGATTTGGACAAGATCAAAAGCTGCGAAGTAATGCAAAGCTTCTGTTATGAATACCTGAGTCTGATTGACACTTCTTTAAAGTTGTAAGACCACCTGTTTATTCAAAGGGGTTTTTTTGCGGGACGTTTTTCATGAACATTTCAAATACTTTTATTATATGGCTTATTGGTTTGCCACAAAGTGCACACATGACTCCTCAGATACTGAAGCAGTCTGTGTCCAAATGCAGCAAGATTGGATAATGTCCAGGCTTGGGCTGATAAGTGACAAATAACATTTCTATCACACAAATGCCAGGCAATGACCATCTTGAACAAAAGTCAATTGAACCATGCCCCTTGACATCCAATGGTGTTATAATAGTGCACAGAAACAGGCCCTTTAGCCCAACTTGGCCATGCTGACTCGGTTTCTTAGCCCCAATTTGCCTGCGTTTGTCCCATATTCCATTTTAACCTTTCCTACTCATGTACCCGTCCAAATGTCTTTTAAGTGTTGTAATTGTACCTGCCTCTACCACTTCCCCTGGCAGCTTGTTCACTCTGTGTGAAGAAGTTACCTATCGGGTGCTTTTTAAATCTTTCCTTTCTCAACGGTTAAACTGATTCCCTCTAGCTCTGGACTCCCCTACCCTGGGGAAAAGAATTTTGCTATTCACCTTATCTATGCTTCTCGTCATTTTATAAACCTCTACCAGGTCACCCTTCAGCCTCCTACACTTCATGGAAAAGAATCCCAGCCTATCCAGCCTCTCCTTATAATTCAAACCCTCCAGTCTCTCTGAATCCCCCATTATCAGCACCCTTAGTGTCAGCATTGGCACCAAAAGGTGAATTGACTCTTCCAGTGAGCTGTGAACCACACATTCTTGAAAAAAATAACTGAAACCCACAAAAATTGGAAAGAAGTAGAAGATGCCCATGCCCAGGATGGAGGGCAGGGTGTGGGTAGTGAGTCGGTAGAAATTGACAGAAATGTCTTTCGTGGGATGTGGGCATTGCTGGTAAGGCCAGTAGTTGTTACTCATCCCAATTGCCCCTGAACTTGTGAAGGCAAGTTTAGGGGACAGTTAAGAGTCAGCCTCATTGCCATAGGTCTGGAGTCACATACCAGCCAGACCAGGTAAGGAGGGCAGATTTCCTTTCCTGAAGGACATTAGTGAACCGGAAGGGAATTTACAATGAATGAAAGTTGCCACGGTCACTTCCACTGGAGTTCGCTTCACATTCCAGATTCAGTAATTGCACAGAAATGCTATCAGCAGCCATTACCCTACCACATCAGCCTGGATTACAGGACATTACTACAATGCCACCTTGTCCACTGATTGGAATCAGGACCCGCTGGTCATTTGAAAAGCTTATAGAGTCTCACAGACTATGAAAACCTCAGCCTACAAGGCCAGCCTTCCTTACGGAATCATAGCATCCCAACAGCGTGGAAGCAGGCCATTCGGCCCGTTGAGTCCACACCAACCCTCTTGCATGAGCATCACCAATGTGTCAATAAGCCATTCATGGAGAGCAGATAAGTGCTGGAGTCACAACGTAACTCAACTCAGTCATCACTCTATGTCAAGGAATGTTTAAATGTTGTAAATAGAACTGCGCAAATAATTGATGGGGAAAAGATTGCAGAGTTCTGGGAAAGGGCACAATTGTTGGACTAATTGGATCACTTCCTCAGACACAGACATGATGGACTGATCCTTCTGTGTGAGGTCCATGTATTTTTCTAAAAGTGTAGCATGTCAGCAGTTTCTGAATATGAAGGAGCGGAACAGACATCCAAACCTGGACTGGCCCATCTTAGGTGATGGTTTAGGATTAGGGAAAAGTCCGATTGTTTAAGCTCGATCCTCTGTGTTCGCCATCCCAATGTTCCAGGGTTTCCTGGAGCTCTGTTTGGTATCGGCAGCACCAAACAGCAGAAAACACATACAATATTCTCACAAAAGACACTTACTGAACTATTCTTCATGAGCTGTACCAGGGTACGAGCCTGCTTTGGCACATTGCTGCAGAAAGGAATAAAAATAAGTTATAAAATTTCCATTTTAAAATGCATTGCCATTCAATCCTTATTCTTAGTTATTCTTGGAGCTAGTCAGGTTGATAGCTGCTACAGGTGGCATTACTGAGGCAGGACATTTATATTTTAAATTCAGATTTTATTTTTAAAATTCTCATCCTTACTGACAAATCCTTGTGTGACCTCCCTATCTCAGGATGTCTTCCAGCCGTCAACTTCCTGAAATATTTACACTCATTTAATTTCAGCCTCTTACACATCCCTGGTTTTAATCTCTCCATCATCACCTGCTGATGTCTGAGCTTTGGAACTCCCTCCCTACACCTCTTCACCTCACTTAGGATTGTTAAAGAAACTGAGGGCTGGATTTTTCAGAGAGTGGCAACCCACACTTTGTGGAGTCTGTACTTTAATTCAGACAAGCCCTGGTAGTGTGGGATAGTCAGGGCAGGGCCAGTAACACCTCCTTTCTCACAGCAATACATGCCCTTTTCTATGATCCAAATGTCCAAAATCATACAGATCTACCTTTTGGTATAAGGTGAGTGCATGGACTTCATAAATGGTGGGGCACATGCCAGGTGGACCTGTGGCATTATTGATGCCCTGCCCACCTGTGGCCTCATTCCCCCAGTGCTCAGGTTTAAACAGATGGTGAAAGAGGCCTGCACCTAATGTGCAACTGGGCAGGCCTGTTGCTGAGGCCTGCTGGTCAGTGAAGGAGAGGGTCAGGATGGGGTGCCTCCTGTCTGAGTTCTCTTTTCTCCCCACTTTCACGCTCAAACTCCCCAACAGCAATGCCCAGGCCCTGTCTAACATGACTCCCTCCTGGGGCTTGGGTGCCATGAGATCCCAGACTTAGCTGGATGTCTGGGTCTGTTGGGGGGCACGGTGGCTCTGTGGTTAGCGCTGCTGCCTCACAGTGCCAGGGACCAGGGGCAACTGTCTGTGTGGAGTTTGCACATTCTCCCTGTGTCTGCTTGGGTTTCTGCCAGGTGCTGCGGTTTCCTCCCACAGTCCAAAGATGTGGTTTGGCCATGGGAAATTGTCCTGTAGCGTCCAGGGATGTGCAAGCTAGGTGGATTAACCATGGCAAATGTGGGGTTATGGGGATAGGGTGGTTTGGGTGGAATGCTCTTTGAAGGGTCAGTGCAGGTTCAATAGGCTGAATGGCCTGATTCTGCACTGTAGGGATTCTATGATTCTATTGCTGAATGCTTCCTCCCTGGCCTAATTGCAATACCGACAGTGACCATCACTCGCAGTGGCGCCGCTGGTGCTGTAGAGATGCTGGCCTCTGATTGGCCATCAACTCAATGAAGTAGCGCATTCTTCTGGAGATGGATAGAAGATTCGCCTCATAATGAGTAAAGGACGATTGGCAAAGGATTAAAGCTAAGTGGGCTGGACAAACGGTGATCTCCCTCTTGACGTTTACAGTGGCGAAGGGACAGCACTCTCCAAGTACAATCCAGCCCAAAAAGTCTATTCACATTTTAACTGGTGTGAGCTCTTGCTTGATAGGTCAATGGTGCCAGAGTAGTCATCATACACTAGTTGGATCCACTGGAACTGGGCATTCAGCATTCTGCCTGTCAGCCCCTGAAGGAATGCTGCACATCATCAATGAGGCACAAACCAATCAGGCTTTAGTAACTGTGGCTTTGAGCATGTGCTGTGAGAGTATTGCCTGCTTAACTCCCAGAGTGGGCCAAATTGGAAACCACCCATCGATTGAGTACTCACTGGGACATTGCACCTGGGACAGCCACGTTGAATTTACTATTCCATTTTCCAATCCCAGTAGCAAAACCGTAGATCCTTGGATTAAATTTTTTCAATACATCTGAAAAAGGAAAGAAATAAACATGAAAAAATTGAGACAACAGGTGGGAAATCTAGTTTCAGCAAATCAGTGTCTTAGCAAACTACAGAACTTGCTTTAACCAGTTTGTTGTAATTCTGCTGTTAGTATTCCCTTATGTGGACTTACATAGAAACACAGAAGATAGGAGCAGGAGGAGGCTATTCGGCCCTTCGAGCCTGCTCCGCCATTCTTCATGAACATGGCTGATCATCCAACTCAATAGCATAATCCTGCTTTCTCCCCCATAACCTTTGATCCCATTCGCCCCAAGTGCTATATATAGTTGCTATTTGAATGCATTCAATGTTTTAGCATCAACTACTTCCTGTGGTAATGAATTCCACAGGCTCATCACTCTTTGGGTGAAGAAATGTCTCCTCATCTCTGTCCTAAATGGTCTACCCCGAATCCTCATACTGTGACCTCTGGTTCTGGACACACCCACCATCGGGAATATCCTCCCTGCATCTACCCTGTCTAGTCCTGTTAGAATCTAATAAGTCTCAATGAGATCTCCCCTCATTCGTCTGAACTCCACCGAAAACAATCCCAACCTAGTCAATCTCTCCTCATACGCCAGTCCCATCATCCCCGGAATCAGCCTGGTAAACCTTCGCTGCACTCCCTTGAGAGCAAGAGCATCCTTCCTCAGAAAAGGAGACCAAAACTACACACAATATTCCAGGTGTGGTCTCACCAAGACCCTGTATAACTGCAACAACACATCCCTGCTCCTGTACTCGAAACCTCTCGCAATGAAGGCCAACATACCATTTGCCTTCTTTACCACCTGCTGCACCTGCATGCTTACCTTCAGCGACTGGTGCACAAAGACACCCAGATCCTGCTGCACAATCCCCTCTCCCAGTTTACAGCCTTTCAGGTAGTAACCTGCCTTCTTGTTTTCGCTTCAAAGTGAATAACCTCACATTTATCCAAATTATACTGTATCTGCCATTGATTTGCTCACTCACCCAACCTGTTGAGACCATGCTGAAGGATCTCTGCATCCTTGTCACAGTTTACCCTCCCACCCAACTTGGTATCATCTGCAAATTTTGAGATGTTACATTTTGTTCCCTCATCCAAATCATTAATATATATTGTGAATAGCAGCGGTCTCGGCACCAATCCCTGTGGTGTCCCACTAGTTACTGCCTGCCAATTTGAAAAGAACCCATTAATTCCTACCCTTTGTTCCTCTCTGCCAATCAGTTTCCTATCCATCTCAATACACTTCCCCCAATCCCATGCACTTTAATCTTGCACATTAATCTCTTATGTGGGACTTCATCAAACGCTTTCTGAAAGTCCAAATATACTACATCGACTGGCTCTCCCTTATCAACTCTACTAGTTACATCTTCATAGAATTTCAACAGATTTGTCAAGCATGATTTCCCCTCCATAAAGCCATGCTGACTCTGTCTGATCCTGGCACTGCTTTCTAAATGCTCTGCTATAAAGTCCCTGATATTGGATTTAAGAATTTTCCCCACTACTGATGTTAGGCTTTCTGGTCTATAATTCCCTGTTTTCACTCTACCTTCCCTTTTGAATATTGGAGTGACATTAGCCACCCTCCAATCTGCAGGGACTGTTCCATAGAAACCTTGAAGATGACCACCAAAGCATCCATTTGGAAGTGGACAATTTGAATAGATGTAAGAGCTATGGGTAAAATAGTCAACCTATGTGAGCTGTGCTGAGCCTGCAAGAAGCAGAAACTGGGTTCCAAGAATGGAATTCACTGGAACTGCAGAAACTTGAATATGAGGATATCACAGAATGATGGAAACAGGAACTAGCCTTGGAAACATCTGGGGGCCATGGGTGAGTGTGGCAACGTGTCAGTTGAAGATGCATCGGAGTGGATCTTGGAAATAGAATTTGAACCCACAGCCAATCAGTAGTGAGAAGCTAGGCCCAACACTAATGTGAGCAGCCCTGGGTCAGGGATCCAGTGTTGGAACAGGAATCCTGCATCTAAAACAGATCACCTTGTGCCTCAGTGAGTAGTATTGGAGCAATATGTTTTATGCCTAACAGCAAGAAATGTAAGATATCAGGAACAAGTCATTAAGAAAACTGACAGGATATTATTGTGCATCGTGAGGGGAATTGAAGACAAGAGTAAGGGAGCTTATGCTTCAATTATACAATGCATTGGTGAGATCATATCTGGAGTACTGAATACAATGTTAGCCTCTTTATTTAAGGAAGGATGCACACGCATTGGAAGCAGTTCAGATAAAGTTTACTATACTAATATTAGGAATCAGTGGATTACTTTATTAAGAAAGGTTTGATAGACTAGACTTGTATCCACTGGACTATAAAAGAGTAAAAGGTAACTTAATTGATGCGATATAAAAGACTTACTAGGAAGAGTAGTCACAATCTTGAGCGATTTATCCCCACCAATGCTACAAAAAAAGAAGAGAAAGAAATTAAAGCTGGTATTATCAGCCAATGCGTCATTCCGATTTGAATCTAATGAAATAGTTTTTGTTTGAAATTGAAAATTGTCATATTTATTTGAGAAGCCGCTGCACTCATTGGCCAGAATTGTCTGGTCATGGTGAGGTTGTTGGTGGTGGGACAGGAAGTCACACGGACGGGAAGGCTGGTTAACCACAGCCAGTCAATTCGGTCTGTGCAGCTGAGAGTGGGGCAAGGCAAGTGGTAGGGATGGTAATGGAGACAATGCCCCCATCCCATCCCACTATTGCCTACAGGCTGCCAAGATCCAAGGCAGCATTGTTCTCGCCATCTGCTGAGTTCTTTTTTTTTGAGAATGGCACCCATGACCACGTGCTCTGTCCAAGCGACTGGCGCCACTGTCTGGCAACTTCTCACCAAAGGCTGCTGCCTGGTTAAGCAGGGATGTTTCCCAGGGATGGCATGGGAGACCCATTCCAAACGCTGGCTGTGGTGCAGGGAGATGATGAATGGGCTGCTGCGAGCCACGCAAAGGAAGGATTAGAGTAAAGAAGGAAAGAAGGGGTAATAACTTGGAGTATGATTCAGATTCAAGTGAGGGATTTGATTTATCAAAAAATCTATACTTCATGCCTCGGTTTACTGAGATGGAGTCATAGAGTCATACAGCACAGATCAACCCTTCACTCCAACTGGTCCACGCTGACCACAATCCCAAAACCAATCCCACCTGCCTGTGCTTGGCCCATATCTCTCCAAACATTTCTTATTCATGTACTTAGCCAAATGTTTTTTAAACGTTGTAAACCGTACCCAAATCCACCACTCCATCTGGAAGTTCATTCCACAGACAAACCTCTCTCTGTGTAAAAAAAATGCCCCTCATGTCTTTTTTAAATCTTTCTCCTCTCATCCTAAAAATATGCCCCCTGGTCTTGAAACCCCCACTTTAGGGAAGGACACCTACCATTCACCTTATCTATTCCCGTCGTGATTTTATAAACCCCTATAAGGTCACCCCGCAACCTCCTACGCTCCAGTGAAAAAAGTCCCAGCCTATCCATATAAACAGTATTTTCCCTCATTTGAGAAGGTAGCTGGGCAAATGAAATGTTTGGACCTTTACTTTACAGTGTTTTGATAGGTTCAGCTATGACCAAAGGAAAAGAGCTGTAAAATCTTAGCAGGTCCGGCAGCATTTGTAGAGAGACACAGTGTTAACCATTTCAAGACTTTGATCAAAACTCTTCAAAAATTTCTTGCTCTTATTTCAGATTTCTATAATCTGCAGTATCTTGATTTTGGGCCAACTCATTTTGTTCTCCATCACTGCAGCAAGTCAAAAATGGAAATGAAGAGACTGCCTTCCCCAGCTTTACCTCCATCTTTACAGCCAACTGTCAGGAGGTTGACTCTGAAGCTTCGAGAGGATACAATGCGGCAGGGTTCCCCTGCAGCCGACACCAGCACAGAGACACTCACCTTAGTGGGTACTCACTATATATTAGGCTTGGGATCAGAATCTGGTGAGCACATCACTGACACGTTCCCAGAGATGGCAGAGCATGCAGCAACTGAAGTCCCTGACAGTCAGAGGACCTCTGGACACCACGCCCCTGCCGAGAGTTTGTCTCAAATCTGCAGGTTATTAGAATTGAGAAGGGTTGAGGCCACCAGATTTGGGAAAAGTTTGTGATGGCATACTTGGAAACCATGCAACAAACTGTCTCCACCGTCCATAGCAAAGGGAATGTAAGGAGTCTGTTAAATAGAAACTTAAGAAGTTGAGATAGGGGTATAATTTCTCTGTCTTTTGAGTCTTTGTACTGGATAACGTTGGAAAGCAAGTCAAAACTTTGTCTTTCTATGAAATTTGAGATTTTTCTCACTGTCGTCAATATTTAGCCAACTTGATTTAAAAAGAAAGTTTGTTTAATAGACTTCCGTTCTGTTTTTAAAGAAAATCTAATTCTCTGTGATGAACTACACATTATCTAACTAAACAAAAAAAAGGATGTATGATCCATCAAGTTAAGTTTCATTTTGAGATCTACCTTGTCGAGCAACACCATCAGTTACAATCTAATAGTCCCAATGAGAGACTGGAAGGCAGTTACTTCCAATCCCTCGTTCCTTCCCTACCTCTCCCACTCAGCAAGCGCTGACCTTCAACATATACTCTCCTCTGTCTCCTCACCTTGCTGAGATCTCCGTTGAATGAGGACCCTGGTGAGGCAGTAATGCTGCTGTGAATTTAGGCTGACCACAGGGACATAGCTCTCCTCAATTTAACTCATGATTATCAATGTGTCTCTTGAGTTGGCCAATTGAACTCCCCACCCACACAAAACACCCTTCTCCCGCTTCCGCAGCGACTGCATTTTCTAGAAGACATTTGAAAAATGCTTGTCATATTCCAGACATGCCCCCTCCAACTAATACCCTCTCCCTAATGACCCATTGACATCCCCCAGCCCTTCTGTTCAGTGCTTTCGCATTCTTTGCATTCACACAGGACGCTGCCAGACAGTCACTGCATTTACCTCCATATCCATCATTTACAAACTACATGTTGGAATTAATAGTTCAACATACCCTCAAGGGCTTCAGAGTTCTGATCTTTTGTCATGACAGCAGGTCCCTGTGCTCTTTTCTTCTCCCGCAGCCTTGGACTGCATCCTTCCATGCCTTCCTCACTGCCTTGGACATCTATGCCCCTTAGACTGGAGCTATCCTTCCTCCCATGCACAATGCCAGCCTGGCTGCCTGTTGTCTACTGCCACCCTTCACCTGGCACTGTCACCCAAGGAGGACAAAACAGCTACTGGTCACACCAACTCCAGTAAGCTCACTCCCTCACCTGCTGCACACCACTTATACTACAGTCCTGAATCTGATGGCACGTATTTCTTACTCACGGATAATTTAAGTGGAAAGGTACAATTAATTATGGCATGACTGCCTTTTAATGAGCGTGCATAACATGCAAAACAACTTCTCAGCACTTGTTGCTGGTAAGTACAACCCACTTCCTGACTACCGAGAACTCCATTCTGTAGTTTCATCCTGCTGTGGGGTAGCTTCCAGTATGATTAAGTTTCCTTGCCGGCCAAACACTCTGGTCATAGGAACAGCACAAGATTCTACTTCGTGTCTGTGTTGAATGTGCTTTGTTGTCACAGATCCTTACCTCCATGCAACACCTTGATATTGAATCCGCAGTTCAAGAATTGTCTTTGCCTTGGCTCCAAACCCAACCTAAATGTCAAAAATGAATAAGTTTCCCTGATAGCCATGAAATCAGGCATTGTTCTCAAATTTCAAACAGAAGTGTCGTACTGTTCAATCTGTAGCAAATTCTGGTACAGTAATCACTTCACAGCGCTGACAATGGGAGTTGAAAGTATGTCTGAGAAGGATTATACCTGATTTGAACATAACGTTGGGATAGATGTTCTAACTTTCTCTAGTACAATAAGCCATTCCATCATGGTGAAAAATTACCTTTTACCAGTAAACAAGCCAAACAATAGACAGCTGCCGTCCTATATACACTGGGGATCGGGTCAGGGTGACATTGTTCAAACTAGTTTAAGTAAGAGGGCTTGAAGGAAATGAAAGGAAACAATTGTTCTGCTGGTTCAGATTGAATTTGAACCCAGGTTCCAGGGGTGAAAACAATTTGTGCTAATCTACTTTGGCAATCCAGTTTCAGTTTCTCATTCAGAATCTGTGCAGATCTCTATCGCAGCCAAGCAGTGGTGCGTCTTTCTGATAGATCAACCCATTATGAGCTGCACAGCATTTACTTTACTTGCATTTCCTTTGTATTTCCAGTGGCTTGTTTTGTTATGTTAAATGCGCAAAATATAACAGGTCCTGGAAATCTGAGACATTGAGACAAATTGCTGGAAATACTCAGCAGTCCAGGCAGCATCTGTGAAGAGAAACAGAGTTAATGCGATTTATTTATTTAATATATTATCACTTGTACCTACGTAGGGTGAAAAATGGATAATGTTGACACATTCCGGTGCCATTTTGGATTACAGAATAAACTAAAGAGTACATTGTTATTACTAAAACTGAAAAAGCTTCAAAAGTTCATCTTTCCATCTCCGTAGCCTTCACCTTCTCTGCTCCTCCAGTTGCCATTATCCGACATTGTTCCCTCCCTCCGGGTCCTGGCAATGTGCTCCTTCGCTGATGCCGCCGGAACCATTGCTTCCACGACCGCCACCTTCGAGGTGGATTCGGTCATTCTGCATGAGTCCCACACCTCCTCCGATGTTGGACGTCGGCTGACGGAGCCCTGGCTCCGAGTTGACCAACAGGGTCTTGGCTCGTCTTCTGACGCCGCCACACGAAAAGGAGATACACTGGGCCCCTGCCTTCCGCAGGAGGAGGCCGCAGGGCAACCAAAACAAAAAAAAATGTGACGGAGCTGGAAAGACAATGATGAAGCCGCGTGGATTTGGCAGAACCCACCGCATGAGCACCTGAACCCCAAACTCAGGCGCCAAATGCTGCTGACCCTGCCACTGCCATCTTGGAAACAGTTAATCTGCCTTGTCCACCACCCTATTACAGAGCTTCCCTTTTATTCATCCTGCCCCTTTCCACTTCCACTGGTTCAATATTTTATTTCAGTCTTTCTTCAGTTCAGGTGAAAGCTCATTGAGCTGAAATGTTAATTGTGTTTCTCTCTCCACAGATACTGCCAGACCTGTTATAAATTCCCAACAGAGATAACAAGGTGTAGAGCTGGATGAACATAGCAGGCCAAGCAGCATCAGAGGAGCAGGAAGGCTGACGTTTCAGGCCTAGACCCTTCTTCAGAAATTAAG